GCGGCCGACTCGCAGCTCCCTCGAGCGAATGGGCAGCGTTGACATCTCCATGACCTCTGCTCCGCGCTGGGGGGCGTTGTAGGGACATGGGGCCCGTCCTCCCGATTCTCCCGGCTTTTCAATAGGAAAAAAAGAGCTGGAGGGCTACTGGACCTCGAAGGGAACTTGTTCTGAATTGCTCAACAGCCCTCCCTGCATCGTCCTCCTCCTCGCGCTCACGCCCACCCTCTTGTCGAAGTGGCTGACTTCTTAGAACCAGAGCCCCCAGAAGTGTGTGCTGGGCCGAGTGTTAGAAGGTGCATGAGTAGCGGGGGTGGATCTGGACTCCAGTAGATTGGAGAGGAGTCCCTTTTGCAGATTTAAGTTTCAGCGAGGCACAGTTGGAATGTTAGGATTTGAAAAGTGGCCGGAGAAAAAGGATATTGTCTGTGGTCTCGGTCTCATTCGAATTGTAGGAATTGGAAACAAGTTGTATTTCAGAGAAGGGGATGACGGAAGTGTTTTGGAGTGGTTTCAATTTGTTTAATGTTTTCTGCAGGGAGATCATGAGCCGGCCTGGAAGGCACAAAGTAAAGAAAATGAAAATTAGAATCCCATGAAAGAGACTGTTATCCGCTGCAGCTACCCAACCTCTAGACTTCCTTCTGTCCTGAATTTATTTGAAAACTGCCACGATTTTCACCTTGCTGGTTGATATTTGTGCTTTGCGTCTCCTCCACTTTAAAAACAAACTCCCTAAATTTAAAAGAATTATTTCCCCAGTTCCCTCCTCAATCCTTTTAGAACAGATTAATTTCATAAGGCAGAAATGCAGAAATTAAAAAAGAAAGAAATGTTCAGTGTCTCCAGAATACAGCATTTGCCTCTCTCACACTTCTTTGGGTCTCTATCTCTGTATCATGAACCTGCAGAATAAGAACTTCATAAAAGAGTTTGACCAAGCAAAAGATGTGTCAGTAGTAAAAGATAGCAGAAGTGCTTACCATGGTTGCATGCACACATTAGCATTATTTTATAGGTGATGATCACTGATACCAAACAAGTAAATACTCTTTACAGTCCCCCTAAAAGAAAACCCTCTAATGTCTTGGCTAGCCAAGGTAAAAAATTTAAGGGACACATGGGAGTGGATGCAGGATTTTTGTGTTAATTTTAAAAGAAACAGAGGATGAGAAAGCTAGGTTCTGAGGAAATGATCAGACTGCTAAAAACAAATACTGGAATGATGGGAGATATTATGGAGTGTCAGTCTTTAGATATCTACATCTCATGGAAGGAGTTGCCCGCAAAGAAAGACAAACCAATAGGTTAATGTAATAGAAACAAAAGAAAGTTTACTTTAGCATCGTAGAAACATGCTTCTTTGCACAGGTCTTAAATTTTTGGTTAAGCTAGGAAGTACTGGGTTGATTTTATGATAAAATATATTGGAGGGGAAGAATAGAATCAGCATCCAGTTAAGCGGAGGACTACAGGAAGACCTGATTAGCTTTCATAACTCCAAACAAACACTGAGATCAACACTGAGATCAAACACTGAGATCAATCAAACACTGAGGGCTAGTGAAAAAACACAATGGATTTCTTTTTTTTTCTTAATTAATTAATTTATTTGGCTGCATCGGGTCTTAGCTGTGGCACCCGGGCTCTTCGTTGTGGTGCAAGGGCTTCTCTCGAGTTGTGGCGCGCAGGCTTCAGAGCGCTCGGGCTTGGTTGCCCCGCGGCATGTGGTATCCTAGTTCCCCGACCAGGGATCGAGCCTGTGTCCTCCTCATCGGAAGGTGGATTCTTAACCACTGGGCCACCAGGGCAGCCCCACAATGGATTTCTTTAGTTGATTTTTAACAGTATTTGGGTATCTGACCCTCCAGTTTTTATGTTCTCCCAAGACTTTATGTTTTTATGATGCACTGAAACGGTGAATGCTTTTCTTTGTCAAAATCCAAACTTTCTCTACTGTCTATAAGAAGTTAATAGTGCATATTTAAGTGTATCCTGTGCAGATATGTAGTAACAGTAAAATATTATTAGGATGAATTACACATTTCTGATTCTGGAAATTTCCAGGAAAGGAAATTATTTTCAAAAAGAAAAAGTATGCCAAGAAACTAATATATTGTGTACATATTCACATGACATAAATCAGTCTCTAATCTATGTAAATCGAAAGATATCAGGGAGTTTATATAACTTTATTTTAAAATAAGGGCTTCTTGGGCTTCCCTGGTGGCGCAGTGGTTGAGAGTCCGCCTGCCGATGCAGGGGACACGGGTTTGTGCCCCGGTCTGGGAAGATCCCATGTGCCGCGGAGCGGCTGGGCCCGTGAGCCATGGCCGCTGAGCCTGCGCGTCCGGAGCCTGTGCTCCGCAACGGGAGAGGCCAGAACAGTGAGAGGCCCACGTAACGCAAAAAAATACCAAACAACAAAAATGGGCAAAAGACCTAAATAGACATTTCTCCAAAGAAAGCATACAGATGGCCAAGAAGCACATGATAAGCTGCTCAACATCACTAAATAAGGGCTTCTTTGGATATATGCAGTGGTGTGTGTTAGATCACTGTGCAGAAGTACAGGCGTTTAAAAAAAAGTCACCCTCTATATTATCTTGGAATTTTAAGAATTTTGGTTGTGTGTTTCCATTGTAGCCTTCAAGAGAAACATCACTCTTGATAATATTTCTGGAAATATTTCCCACCGTGAAGAGTATTGTTTTTTAAAAGAACGCCAAGAACAACTAACTTGCTAGTGCAATCCAGAAATCAGCCGTTCATACTCAGTTGCAAAATTTTATATGTTCAACATTTTGCTCGGTTTTGCTGAAAGGAAGCAATTTCGATTTGTACTCAGATTTGCAAAGACGTGACCCACGCCAAATATCCTTAGCTGGACTCTACTTACACTCTTTTAACTTAAATAAATTCAAGAGGCACTTGTGTGGTCTAAAAGATTGTCCAGATGAAACGAGGCTGAAATGTTATGCGAAGGGGGAGGGGAGCGCGTGAATAGTGTCAGGGAGTTTGGTGACCGAGAACTGCTCCTGTCCATTGCGTGAACTGTCCTAAAGGGTCAAGCTGTTCATCTTCAGCCCCTCTTTCAGTGTGCAGTCCTACTTTAAGGGAACAAAAGCTCAAAGCAGGCAGTTATCAAGAAATGGGAGCCCAATGATTTAAACTCATCCCCAAGCCTTAAAAAGAAAGGGGGCCCGAGTGTGTGTAGGGAGAGAAAAGTGACGTAAGGGGAGGGGGGAAGGGGGTGGAGACGTTTAGAAAGTCTTTGTTGTTTTTGAGAAGTTTGAACTTTGAGACGACCCCAAAGCCCCAAAGTTTAGGGTAGGTGTTGCTGTGGAGCCACAGGCTACATCCCCCTCCACACTTCGACCTCACAAGTGGCCAGAGAGGACAAATGGTCCCCACGCCCATACTCTTGCTGTTGCAGGTGAATGGGGCGAGGGCGGCGGCAGAGAAGGGCTCCTTTCCCAGAGCGTTGCAGGAGCAAAAGTTTGCCCGCCCATCAAGCCTGTCCCCCAATTCACAGTAAACCGCCCTGCCTGCAGGGGAAGGGAGGGTCTCTGCTCTGCTAAAAGGACCGGATGACGTATCTGCCAAGGGTGGCTTTGTAGCCTAAATCCTAATCTGCCTGGTGAGCGCTCAGAAAGGCGGAAAGAGGGAGA